GGACATTAGGAGAAAGAAGGGAAAAATGAAGGGGGTGGAATTGGAGGGGGAGACGAGCCATGAGAGACTATGGACTCCGAGAAACAAACTGAGGGTTTTAGAGAGGAGGGGGTGGGGGGATGGGTTAGCTTGGTGATGAGTATTAAGGAGGACACATACTGCATGGAGCACTGGGTGTTATATGAAAACAATGAAGTGTGGATCACTACATCAACAATTAATGATGTATTGTATGGTGACTAACATAACCTAATAAAATTAAATTAAATTAAAAAATAATAATAATAAAAATAAAGGAAGACCAGAATTTTCTTTAAAGACAATTTGGAGTAGTTACCATGAACAGATTCATCAGACTCTTGTGGACAGGACTGAATTTTGTTCCAGTCCACAGGCTTAAGAAAAGCCACTGAAATTGCTCAGTGGAGATTTCCAGCAAACTTGCTAGTGCCTTGCCAGAAGTTAAGGATCTGTTCTCTAAATCCTGTTCAGGATGTTCCCACTGGGCTAGCTTCATCCAATGTTTGGCCTGACCCTCACCAACAAGCATGTGCACCAACATATATAAATCTGAGAAACCTGGTTGGTAAGTTTGAATAATTATGTTAAATTCTTCAGCAAACCCATGGGGATCCTCAGTGGCTTTAGCAAACTCTCTTATTATGGCTCTCAATTCAGCCTTAGTCCACGGAACATAAGAAATGTGGGGTCTATTTAGATGCTTGAAAGGGGCAGGTTTGAATAGGTTCAGGAGAGGAGGGAGCCAAAGAAGCTTCAGACAAAAAGGGAGGTTCAGGAAAGGATCAGAATGAGAGGGTGGAGGGGAGAAATAGGGTGCAGAGAGACAGAAGAAGATGGTGCCTAGGCCTGGCAAGCCAAGATGACCACCTCCCCTCTGTAGATACAGAAGGAGGGGAGGGAGAAAGAGGCCTCAGAAGCCATTTTGACTTCTTACAACTCTTTGCCTCAGTTGATTTAGAAATAGTACTTTTCAAAGAGGCAAACTTAGAATCCTGAAAACATCTGGAAGCCTCAAGTTACCAGCTAAAATAGGCATTGCATTCGGGGTTGTTGGAGTTTTTTTCCTTTCCTTTTAAGGAGACGTGGCTTTATAACTGAATTTTGAAAAAAACATGTTTGGGTATAGTAAAAGTCCCCCATTACGGTCACTAAAGTTTCTGAAATTTAGTAACAAGAAGCCTCACTAAATGGAGTTGGGAGGTGTCCACAGGGAGAGCTCTCATGCCCTACCACAGCTACTCAATTGCAGACTCAACAAGAAGAGCCAAACTTAACCTTAGACAGACTTGGCCTTGCACATGGATACTACTCTACTATTCCAGCCAGAAAATGAGACACTTTCCTTATCCCCTGGGGCAACACTCAGCCAATGAAAAGCCACTGCGTTTCCAACT